TCCCCTTTCACCTGCCTGCCTGCCTGCCTACTCTGTCCTTCCTTCCTTCCTTCCTTCCTTCCTTCCTTCCTTCCTTCCCTTTTTCCCTCCCTCCTTCCTTCCCTCTCTCACTTCCCTTTTGCCTGCCTGCCTGGCTGCTGTCCTTCCCTCCTTCCCTCCTTCCTTCCGTGCAAGAATAACAAGGCTTTCACCACTAACCAAGTGGGTTGCACACTAGCTGCAGAGGAAAAGGCGCAACTCAAGTGAGCAAGCACATGGCCAGCTGCACAGGCACAGCGGCACCCTTTACTTCCACATCTTTTTTCCCAGTGATTCTGTCGGATCAAGGTCGCAGACATGCCCATCGCCTTTTTCGGGGGTGATATATGTAGTAGGCTGCCTTCGCCTTCTTCCGGAATGTTTCTGCACCTTCCCTCTCTAGCCTGCAGCCCTGGGATCTCCTGGTGGTCCCCCATCCAAACACTAACTAGGTCGGACCCTGCTTAGCTCTCAGGCCCAGACGGGGTCAAAGCGTCTTTTGTCTACCTTGCGTTAAATGTTAGATTCCAAAACAAGGATGCCGCTTGCCTTCAGTTAGGTGCCCCCCTAAAGTAATTTCATCTTGCTTTGATTTCTTCTGCCAAGTTCTCTTCTGCCGGCCAAATGCCCCAGTTCCAAGCGGTGAAAAGGGCTCTCTCGGCTCCCGGTGATTATCGCAAATCACAGCTCTGGGCCCGGGAAAGCGGCGGGGAGGAGGCGGCACCAGACGCCTTTCGACCTGGAAAATCTGAGACTTCAGTAGTGCAGAAATGGAAAGCCGTGTTTTACTGTTTGTTGAACCAAAATCCAGTTATTACAGAAGCCTAGTATGATGGATCAGTGACCCCTCCCATCATATTTAACTTCTTCCTAACCGGAAGAGACAACTTGGTCTTCTCGTATGGGGCCTGGAATTCCAAAACAACCAGAACAAAAGACATAATTGGGATCCGGGTGCGAATGAGACTGATTTTAAATATAGATTCAATATTATAGTCTTCCAAGCTGTTTATTCCATGTTCCCCATCTGGTCCATGGCTTTGGGGTTTCCTGTAGGCTCCCATCCCAGGTCCGACCACTTTGCTTTTTGCAATCAGCCCAGAACTGGTTGACCCTTGAAGTAGTTGTGGTGCTATTAAAGCGTGGCGAGATGTTCTAAGTTGCAGAGAGATTTTGTAGCACTCTGCATGCAACGAAAGTCCCCTTCTGCTCCGCTTCTCTTGCTGCTGATCGAGGACAACCAGCTTTTAGGTGAGTTTTGCAGGAAAGGCCCCTCCCGTCTCCCGCACGGGTGAAATGCCTTCCTCTGGGCTGATGCAGGCGGCGAATGCGTCCTGGCGTTTCCCTGATTGCTTTTACGCCCAGCGTTTTCTAGCCATCTGCTTTTGCATTCCAAGGAAATATTTTCCCTGAGGGGTCTGGAGGAGACCGGCCTGTTTCCACGCTTTCCTGGAGAAAGCTGATCAGACGGTAGGGGACACAGGCTGGGTCATGTTCTGTTTAGACTACTGCACTGCTCCGTTGGTAGGGCGACCCTTGGAGAGTGTCCAGAAATGGCCACTGCCGAAGGTGTTTCTCGGGGTGCACTGTATAGGTTTGATTGCACTAGTCACGTGTCCGTTGCACAATTCAAGGGCCTAGTCCTTAAACTCTAGAGCAGTGTTTTTCAACCTTGGGAACTTTAAGATGGGTGGACTTCAACTCCCATCATCCACAGCATCACATATTCTAGCTAGGTCTAATGGGAAGTCAGGCTGACTTTTCTCTAGCTATTTAGCACACAGGGCACAGTTGTAACCCCACATCCCTCTTTGCCCCCCCAATCAACACGGCCAAACTTGGCACCCAATTTTTTTTTTCTGCAACGAAAGGGGAGGTTGGAAAAGCCGTCATAACAACCTCTCTTTATGTTGGACAGTTCAAGGCA